GGTGAAGAGGACCTTTTTTGTTCCTCTCGACGAGTTCTATAAGGGAAAAATACCAAACCTAAAAAAATCCAACGCAAATGTTACAAATCATTTTTGGCGCTGTTAGAAATTTTTAAGTGGCACTAGGGGTAGTTTATCGGCCGTAAGGGTGCCTTCCGAAACATCAATCCAATCGGCCTTTTTTTCACAAGCTCTCGGCATGAATATGTTGTCGTGTGCCAAAGCGCAAATGTTACAAATCATTTTTGGCGCTGTTAGAAATTTTTAATCGGCACTAGGGGTTGTTTATTGACCGTAAGGGTGCCTTCCGAAACATCAATCCAATCGGCTTTTTTTTCACAAGCTCTCGGCATGAATATGTTGTCGTGTGCCAAAGCGCAAATGTTACAAATCATTTTTGGGGCTGTTAGAAATTTTTAAGTGGCACTAAGGGTAGTTTATTGGCCGTAAGGGTGCCTTTCGACACGCCAATTCGATCGGTAATTTTTTATTCCGTTCTCAGCATGTATATGTTGTTTTGTGCAAAACGACAAATTGTACAAATTATTTTGTACTCAGCCCTGCCGAGACTTAAGCCAACCGCACCTGAAACATCTCCACCCCCAGCCCCAGCCCCAGCCCGGTCTTGCCAAGACTTAAGCCGATCGCACCCAAACATTTTCGCCCACGGATTTACAATCGCAACGCGTGGTCAATCGCAACTTGGGTTATTGCATTGCATAATCTTTCACACACGATTGACCACGTGTTGCTATCTCCCATGTTCCGATTGACCACTCGTTGCGACTGCCCACGTTGCGATTGACCACTTTGCGATTGCCTATGCTATTGCCCATGTTGCGGTTTAATTCTTTGTTCGGCAGCTTTTTAGTTATTCTAAGCTAACTGTAAGCGATGCTACTTAACATTTACAGGATAACAAACGTTGCCATATATGAATTATATATTTGAAATAATTTAATCAATAAAATATTTTACAATATTATATAATTTTACATAAATAATATGAAGTATACGACGCGTCATTGGTTGATAATGTTTATAATTGCACCTATATTTCATGTCTCACTTACCAAATACGCGTTATATTTCTTCGTTTCGTTCATTTCGTGTATCAATATTATATTATCAATGTTAATCAAAATTATATATATTATCTTGGATAATAGTAACGAGAAGTTATTAATCTACATTATATTAACATACATTTGGAGAATAAATACTAAAATAATCGCAAGCTTTGGCTTTGCTATACAAATAGAAACGAATGTTACATACTTAATGACATAGACACACATCGCTAATAGATGTAGAATGCCGTATATTTGAAAATTTCGAATTTGAGAATTTACTAAAATGCACAACGGATCGTTATCGCTTGTCGTTACCGCTATGAATATATATAATATTTTAATGGCACGCATTAGCGACAGAAAATTTAAAAACATCACGAGAGCGTAATTTATAATATTTCCCGACAAACTAGAATTTAAAAAGCAAATCGTATAATGGAGTATATTTCCCGAGCGTTGTGATCAAAAGCATGAAAAAGATTATCGATCACTTTATCCTAACTAGATTAGCACTCGGCAAAATATTTATATCCAGTCTCACAAAAATATTAATTTCCACATATATGATCGTTATATACGCAAATCAATTTTACAGAGGAACAATTAATGGCACTATCATAGTCAATATATTATTTTAAGAATCAAATTTATGAACATTGATTTAATGTACAGCGTTTGATGAAGAATAAAATCGAAAATGCGGAGAAGATCAATTATACATCCGCCGACTCTACGATAGAAATGTTCAAAATTATACATGTACAAATGCTTATTCAAACAGCTTTTTAGCATAGTGCCAAATGCGGAAAAAGTACTCGTCTTTTCTAAGTAATCTCGCTTTTGCGTACGAATGTATATCGGCATCCATATTGTGTTCTCGCAACCATGAACTTGTGTTTTCTGTGCTAAAGCTGATCGATGCAGTTTCACCTTTGTCCATTGCCTCTGCAATTGGTTCCACGCACGACAATTCTACCAAAGGAATAGATTTAACGATTAACGGGTTGAAATTTTTAATCTCAAGTGTGAAACTTGAATGGAGCGATAAAAGATAAATAAGAAGTAAAAGAAAGAAGCAAAATTAATGATATATAGTGATGTACCTGATGTTGGTATAATCTTAAAAGGTTCCTCTGATTCCAAATGATCGCTGAATCCGATCTCGTTTCGTGCAAAGATTCTCACAAGATATTCGTGATTCTCTTGCAGATCTCTAATGTTGAGTTTTTGGATGTCCGCGCTAACTCTTCCCACTTCCATCCACATGGTTTTCTTTGCGTCTCTAATAGCGATTTTATAACCCTCCAAAGATGCACCGCCGTCTGATTCAGGTCTACCCCATTCGATTACCATTGTATTCGCCGCGATCTGTCTCATCTCTAATGGAGCAGTAGGTGGTGACGGAACATCTACAAATTATTCACAAAAAGCATATTGTTATTAATTGTCGTTCTATTTACTTATTACATATGATAATTTTCAATAATAGGATGTATAAACTAGCTTACTGGCATGAGTTTTTAGCGTTATAGGCTCGGAATTGGTCGGTATGCTAAGACCTAAGCTATTTTCAGCAAAGATTCTAAAGAGGAATTCGCTTTCCTTTAAGTTTTCTATACAATATTGATGTGTTGTGGCATCCAAAGTGACAACCTTTGTCCACCTGGCGCCTTTCCCGATTAATGGTCTCTTTTCGATTATATAGCCTGTAGCGAGAAGAAAATAATATTAATATTATTCAATCAATATCAAAATAATGAATTTATCTTATAAAAATTTGTATTTTATTTGCATATATTATTTTCACCTGTCAATTCCGATCCTCCTGTTGTAGTTGGTGGTAACCAATTGAGAGTGACGCTCTTGCTAGTGATATTTGCCGCACGGACGTTTAGGGGGCACGAAGGTGGCGCTAAAGGAAATTTAAATTATTATTTGCATGACACACGTGCCTTGCCATATTATAGTTTATATCATTAGTTATGTTTTATAACTATCATATAGAAAATGCAAGAATGGGATACAACTAAGGAACGGGGCACAAAAAGCAAAAACAAGAAACTTACTCTTAACGGTAATCATTTTGATTGATGGAAATATGCCTAGTAGTACGTATATGCTGTTTTCTGTAAGCTTTATTAATTCTGAGCAAATACATAAGCAAAAGAAATTAATAAGTTAGATATATATCGGTAGTTAATAATTGAGAATCAGTAATAAGCTGATAGCAGGCTAGCAATTAAAAAAATAACTAATTTACTTACTCGGTCGTTTACCAGCTATAATCACTTCTTCCGCTGTATATGGAGGACCAGTACCAACGCTATTTTTAGCTGTTATTCGGAAATTGTATGATGCGTCCGTTTTTATATCAGATATAGTAACATTAGTGACTTCCCCTTTTGTACCCACAATCTGAAAAAGCGTCATATAAATAGATAGAGAAATGATTAATTATCTTAGTGCTGGTGACACGCGCAGACAATGTGAATCATACTAACTTTTTGCCAAGCTTTCTTCGATGTTTCTTTCATTTCGACGATGTAATCTGTAATAGGAGTACCACCATCATTCTCTGGCGGTTCCCATTTTAATGTAAATGATGTTTTTGTCATTCCAAAAACTTGGAGTGGTCCTCTCGGCGGGCCTGGTGTTTCTATGTATAGAGCGAGTGAAATATGTATTTTCGATTATTTTGTAAAATTATATTTATTTAAAAATTTAATATTCTATTTAATACAATTAGCCACAATTTTTTTTCTTACCAAATAACGTCCTTGCTCGAATTGATTCGGATTCCAAAGGATCTGAAGGTCCGACCGCGTTTCTAGCAACTATTCTGAATAGATAATCGACATCTTGCTGCAATTTCTGTGCACAGAAATTCTCGACTTCTTTGTCGACATCACCTACTTTTGTCCAAACTTTTTTATTTGCTTCGCACTTCTCGATGGTATATCTTTCCAATTCCACACCACCATCATCGATCGGCGGTCGCCATTCTATAGTAACACGATCTTGTCTAATTTCTTTCGCGATAACTGGTCCCTGGGGTTTGCTCGGTTTATCTACAACGTGTATTATACGTAAATATGTATATAATTAATTTTGAATTTGCTTTTAAAATTTTCGTTGACTAATATGCAAAGTTATCAACCTATGACACGAAGATGACATTCCATCGATGAGCTACCGGCTTCATTCGATGCTTTCACTGTATAGATAGCTGTGTCATCTCTGACGAGCGAAGGAATCGTAATAATAGATGTATGTTCCTTAGTTTCAATGGAAATACGTTTATCAATTATTGTCTTATTATTTATCGTCCATGTTACTTCCGGTTTTGGGAAACCACTGAAATGAATCTCTACTTTCCATTTATCGCCCAATGTTAGTCTCTGGTTTCTTAAATTTTCATCGCAGGCGATCTTTGGAGATTCTTGAATTTTTAATTGACATGATGTTTCCGCCATTCCTGCATCATTTTGGGCTTTAACCGTAAATGTAGCCGAAGATGTCTCGGTAGTTTTCCAAATAGTGTATTTAGCCACATGATTTTCGTATATAATGTCACTATCTTCGAAAGCTGTGCCGTCTTTCAACCTGGAAAATAATTTTCAAGATACAATTCAAGTACAACTAATGAAATATTTATGTTAGCTACCGTAATTAGATCAAAAAACAAAAAATTACCATGTAATACGAGGTGTCGGTACACCACCAATTACGCAAGAAAGTGTAACAGTCCCTTCTAATCCAATGACGATGCTCTTAAGTGCTTCAAGAATGGTCGGTGGCTCGGACGCTGACAGCTTGGAAATTCTTAGATATGGCGAATTCAGAGATGCCTCCCCCAATCCAGCTTCATTAACAGCTGTTACGCGGAAAGTATATTCCTTATCAGTGATTAAGTTTGTCAATTTGTATGTAGTTTCGATTATTGTCTCCGTAATCCTGCTCCATCTTGAAATCAAATCATTTTCGTCTTTACAGAATTCATCAAATTGTAGAGATATAATAAAGAGACACATGTTTATACTTTATTTTTTTCATCTTGGTTTTTAAATAAAATTTTGTGTTACTTACAAAGTTTCTGTCTTTTCTCGATATTCTAAAATGTATTCTATGATTGAGGAATGATCATCTGTATCTGGTTTCTTCCAATGAAGAGTAATGCTGTTGTCAGTTATTTCAAGAGGTTCCGGAATTCCTGGTGCTCCGGGTACCTCTGTAATGTGTATATGTTTATTTTTTTATCATTGTACTTCTTTTTATTATTTTGAATGAAATCTCCCCGAAAATTATTTCGATATAAATACATAATATATGAATATGCAAATACTTACGCACAACGATGACGTTGATATCTATACTATCCTCTCCATGTGGATTAGTTAATTTTAGATTATAATTACCAGAATCTTTCTCTTGTACATCTCTGATTATTAAAATAGCTGAACATTCATCGATAGATGGAATAAATCGTTTAGATTTTTTAAGAACACGGCCGTTGATTGTCCACTCGTCAATTGGAGTTGGCTTACTCGTGAATTTCACAACAATATCAATGTCATCGCCTTTCATCGTTTTGTATTTTCTAAGTGTATCAGGATAAATTCTAGGCGGTGTTTCGATAACTGCAACAATGAACACGTGTATATATTAAATACTTAATATCCAAATTTATATAAAGACTAGAAAATTAGATCAAAGATTAATACAATTCAAATACACACGCGCACACACGGATAGATCCTATTTTAAGGATCCCCCTTTATTTGTAGACTTATACAAAAAACACAATCTTATAAAATTTACCTTCGATTTTTAATCTGGTTGTTGTCTTTACATTGGCAACTATGGCAGTATATTCAGCGATATCTTCGGTCGTGCACTTTCTAACAATGAGCTTCTTGACATTTCCCTCATCAATAATATTGTATTTTGATGATCGTGCACAATCGATCGTCTCACTTTTTCTACACAAATTTTACATAAAATCATTTTATATTTTATATATTTATTTCAATTCTATTAATTGTAATTGTTACAGAAATTAAATTTTTTAAGATATTTTTATATCAATGAAACTTAACTTACTTCAACCATGTTATTGATACATCAGCACGCGATAATTCAATAAGAAAAGTTGCATCAGTGTTGATAGGTACTAAAGTAACATCTGGCAATTTTTTTATAAAATCTACTTCGGGTTCTTCAACTGTCAATCTAGCTGACGAAGTTTGATCGCCAACTTGGCAAGAATAGATTCCTGCATCTTCTACTTCAGTGTCGTAGATCTTCAATTTCTGTCTTTTGCCATCGATTGATAATCGTACATGTTCGGAAAATTGCAATTCTTGTCCGTCTTTGAACCAACGTACCAGAGCGTCACCTTTCGTTAACTCTATGTCAAAAGTGGCTTTTTCTCCTGTAGCTATAGTTATATCTTGCATTTTTATAATGATTTCTGGTGGTAATTCGACAACAGTAACTTCCGCTGTACACTCTTGGTCTGGAAGAACACATGTGTATTCTCCTTCGTCGTGAACTGATGCGCTTCTGATGACAAGTTTTCTCACGGTACCATCTTTCACGAATTCTAATTTCCCCTTGCTTGATGTTAATAATTCACCATCTTTTCGCCATGTAACATCGGTCGTTTGAGATGTGATTTCAACCTCCAAAATCGCCACATCGCGTTCTTTTACCTCGAAGTCTTGCAGTTTCTTGACAAATTCCGGTTTGGTCGCCTTGACGATAACATTGCTAAACGTCATTTGGTTCTTGACGGTACACTTGTATGTTCCTGCGTCGGAAAGACCGCTCTTCTTAATAAGTAACTTGTGTAGGCGTCCTTCCTGGATTACCTCGCGATGATCCATCCCGCTGACTTCCTTGTCTTTGTGCCACCATACCGTCGAAACAGTATGGGATGTCTCACAACTCAATTCCAAAGTTTTATATTCGTCAACTATGATTTCATTTTGCAAATTTCTCGTAAAAACGACTTTGGCAACATCTACCGTAACTTTTGCGCCATGAGAAGCTTTTCCGACTGAATTACTAGCGACACATTTATAATCTCCAGTATCTATTTCAGAGTCTGCATTTTTAATTTCGAGTAGAATATTTTCGCCATCATAACTTTCTATGATATTAGCCGATTTATCAAGCGGTTTATTGTTTCTAAGCCAAGTAACTTCGGGAACGGGATTTCCAGTGACTCTGGCGACTAACTTAAAAGTACCTTTTTCCGGAACGATTATCTCTTGGAAACGTTTGGTGAATAATGGTGGTTCTGGGGCGCCACTTGGTATTTCTGAATTTCATAAATATAACAAAACCATTACTATAAAGAATCTATTTTATATGTTAAATTGTAAATGTATTGGACAAATACCCTTATCAAACGAGATACGCTTGTCGTTCATACATTGTTGAAAGTTAATGTTGATTTGTGATATGGAGTTAACTGAAAGCATATTAGTAGAGAAGCTTTTTTTAAAATTGTATCCGACAACAAGCTGACATATAATATTTAATTGCCTGAGAAGACATTAAAATAAAATGCAATTTAGTTTCTTTTAGTTTATATTTTATTTATAGTAACATTAGAGTTAGCTACCGATAGCAGATGTCGATTGTCGAAGAGCCAAATAAACACAATAAAAAAGCGAAGATGATGTAAAGTAAAGAATAAAGCAAAAACGAAACATTAATATGTCGCAATGCAATTAAAGAAATATTTAATTGATCTTACTCTCAACAGTCAAGGTAGCCCGAGTCTCGACTTTGCCCATATCATTGATAGCTGTAACGGAATATTCCCCACTATCTGCTAATTGAGGTTGGATTAAGTTTAATGTATTAACATGTCCATCTTGCTTTAATTGCAAGCCCTTTATCGGCTTTCCGTCTTTGTACCATGTTATTTTCGGTGATGGATGACCAACTATTTGAGTCGATAAAACAACAGTCTCACCTTCTTTGACTACATGGGATTGTAACGGTTCTAAAATTTCGGGTGATTCACTCTTTCCAGTTTTCACCTGTTTTATTAGAAAATATATTAATTATACCATGTATAATGTATAAAGATAAATTTATAAATCTATTATAAATTTATTAATTGATTATCTTTTATTATTATATATATAGTACTAACCTTTACAGGAATTTCGATAGTGGCTTCGCCTTCTCTGTTTTTAGCAATTATCTTGTATCTTCCTTCTTGCCCCTTTTGAATTTTAGAAAATTTCACGACACTGCAGTACATATGCATGTCGCTTTCGGTTGCAACTACAATGTTTTGTTGGCTAATTACCGGTATATCTTTATGATACCATATTATTTCTGGTTCTGGTACAGCAACCAATCGGCATTCTAGTATCATGTTGTCCCCTTCATTTACATATTTCGCTTTTGGCTTTCGAGAAAATGTAGGTGGTATACCTTCCAATATATCCGCAAGAGAAGATTCTCTAAACAATATAATAGTAATAATGGTTAAGAATAATATAATTAGAAAACGTATTGGATATAATACAATTGACGTAAAAGTTTTAATTATAAAAGTAACAGTTTATTAAAACAAACACAGTATTCATTACATATGTAATTAATACTTGCTTGTTTTACAATTTATTAATACGTGCTTATTTTACAAACTGTTATAATTTCAAAGTATATATTTAAACTATCCAACTATATACTGAAAAAGTGATTAATAATTTGTAATAAAGTAATTTGTTCGAGAGAATAAAAATACGTACCTCGAAAGACTTTTTCTCGAAAGACCAGTAACATCCGATCCGTGATCTGACAAAGGAGCTTCAACGATTAATTCAGTAGTACTGGATGCAAATCCTGCAGCATTTTTCGCAACACAGGTAAAAGTACCGGCATCTTCGGGAAAAACTTCTCTGATTATCAAGGTAGCGACGTTATCCTCGTCATAATACATTTGAAAATCGGTAGATGGTTTAATAATAGCAGTCTGGCGGAACCAAGTTATTTGTGGTCTTGGTATGCCTTCCACTTGACATTCAAATTGAACGGTGTAACCATCTAATGTATGAATTGGTTGTAATTTTTCAATAAATCTTGGTGCTGACGCTTTTTCTCCAGGGGCCGGCTCTAAAAAAATCAAACGTATCAAGATTTTTTAAAAATTTTACACCAAATTTCAAATTACAAACGTATGCTATAAAAGTGGTGTAATTATATAATAAACTTCACACATCGCATCGTTTTATCAAAATTCTCTTTTCTAGATAAATACTTACTCTCAAAGATTGGCAATTTATCAATCTTTTCATGCAGTTTTCGTTGCAAATAAACAGTATAATGTGTTTCATCCAATAAATATTGAGCTGGTACCCAACCCTTTTCTTCGGTCAAGTGTTTTTTTACAAACCACCAATCCTGATTGGTATGATCTATAGATAGTAAATATCAATTAGAGATGTATATTATTGTATATTAATTATATATGTGGTATGTGTTAAATTGAATATTATGGTATTTTTATAAAGCAGAGATCTTACCTATGATATAAACTTTTTCTCCTTCGACTAAATTAATAGCTTCTTCCGTTTCAGCAATATAAGAACAAATTGAAAACATTGTATCACCTTCATGAACAACATATTCAAGTTCCTCAACTAAAAACCATTAATAAATTACTTAAAATGGAATATAACAAGAATTAAATGTTATTAAATTTTTTAAAAGTATTACATTATATGTATACTTTTTGAAAGTATTTTATCATATTATACATAAATAGATATTATTGAAGCAAACCTTCTTCGGATATTTCCTCTTCTTTAGTAATACTGAGAGAAGCTTCTTCTGTAATATTTTACATAAATATCAAATAAATATCGATTGTTCATGCCTTATAATTATAGTACATACAATCTGAATACAGCAAAAAGTATGTTATGCGAATATATTATTTATATAAGCAGAATATCTAGTTGCTTATGAGTTCGTATCATTTTGAATGTGGATTTTTATACGTTATGTAAATAAATCGCTTGTTATTGTTTAAAAAAATATGTAATTAAAAAATATAACTACCGATATGCTTTTCATACGCAGCGGTTTAGTGAAAGATTTAAGGATAATAGGCAAAAATTTTCTTTTTTTTTGTAAAAAAGAAAATGCAACAATTAGGCGAAGGAAAGGAAAAACAATGCACAAGAATAGAGCATGTACACTTATTGTTAAAAGGATTAGACTAATTAATTATTCAAGTACATTAATTATTATTATATACAAAAGCATATTCTATTAACTTAATTTTAGATGCTAATAAGACATAAATATGTCATCAAACCTTCTTCGAATGTGGAAATACGTCTCTTGCTCTTCAATTTTAGCGCCAATGATTCAGCATCGGTTTCTTCGTATGAGTATTTTCTATCATGTCTTAGTTGCAGTTTAACATCATCTTCTTCAATTTCTTCTACAGTATATGAAGGTTTTTGTTTCTTTTTCTTTCGTCTCAGCGATATATTCATTTCGTCAGTGTCAAGCTCTTCAATGCTATATTCTTCTTTAACTTCTTCTTCTGATTCATCAATGATTTCTTCAATAATTGGACCGGAATCATCTTCAATTTCTTGAATTATTTTGATAGTTTCTTCTCCAGTTTCTTCAGAATATGTAAGCGGTCGCCTTTTTGATTTTAGGCGCACTTTACCGGACATAGAAATATCTTCTTCTTCATATGTATTTAACGAGATTTTAAATTCTTGTTCTACATCCTCTTTTCTCTTTGTAGAACGTGGTCTAAATGTTACATTTTCTACTTCAGTAATTTCTTTAATATCCAATCTAGATTTTTTCTTCGGTCGTAATTTACGTAAAGTAACATCTTCATAAATTTCTTCAATTGGTTTTGGTGCTTTTCCCGGTGGCTTGCGTTTTAAAGTAAATTCTTCAATTACTTCTTCAGGTTGTTCTACGACCTCAATTTTGCGAATAGTTAATTCTTCCGCAATTACATCTTCAATTTTTGGTACTGGCTCTTTTTCCTTTAATAGTACATCTGCAGATGCTTCTGTAATTTCTTCTATCTTCTTACTTTTTGCGGGTTTCACAATGGTTACTTCTGATATTTCTTCCGTTTGGATCATCTTTTTTCTTGGCTTAGATTTTAAAGTTATTTCTTCAATTAAATCTTTTTTCTCCTCGATAACCGGTTTTTTAATCGTCACTTCGTCGGCGACTTCCTCTTTGACAGACTTTTCTTTCGGCTTCTTCAATATTACTTTTTCAGAGATTTCTTTCGGCACTTCTTCTTTTGGAACGGG